TATTGAGCCCCCCCCCCCCGGGTCTCTGCATTAGCCCACTGCTCAGCAAGGGCAGATGCGCCATACAGAGGCCCCAGGGGTGAGAAACAGTTTTCCCCCACAGCTCCCCCTCTACAAGTCTCTCTCCTGACCTCTAGTACCAGGCCACATCACCTGCCGGCTAGTGTACAGCTGACGGGAGGCCCTTCTATGCTACTGACCCCAGTGCTGGTCCTGGAGTGCTGCCGGACACCCTACCATGCACAGCGCGGTCATGCAGCGAAGAACCATGTGCCCGGAACCCAGGGCTGAAACCTCGAGCCCCACGGCTATGGGGCGGCAGCGCTGACACGGCCCCCAGGAGGCGGAGACACTCATCTCCACGCCCCTCCTGCCTCAGACCCACAGGGACGCACGTTTTCTCCACCCACCCACCCAACACCGAGACTCACCTCTCCCACGGTGCACGGGTGACCATTGGGACAAGCTGTTGAGAAGACGAGGGACACACGTTGGCTGGGAGCCCCGACATGGAGAGGGAAAGCTAATGCTCTGCTCTCCTGTCTTGACCCAAACACGATACACAGGAGGTGTTCTGAGCACCTCATCAGAAACCTCAAATTATGCTGCCAGGGAAGTTACTTGCCATTCACCCAGGAGCTCAGCAAGTGTGAGAGAAGTCTTAATCTAACTTCACAAATTGCAGACTCATGACGGGATAATTTCGTGCTAGGGTAGACAATATTGTGTATCTGTCTACCACGGTCCCCTTTTCATTTTTTGAGACGGGGTCTTGCTAAGTTCGAGCCTGGGCTCAAATTTGCGATCCTCCTGCCTCAGCCTCCTGAAGTACCTAAAGTTACAGGTATATACCACCATGTCTGACTATATGTTTCCATTCTCTTGGCTTTTTTTTTTTTTTAAGATTTATTGTTCGTTTTTATTTAAACTAGTCTCTTCTCTAGCAAAAAAATTCCTGAAATAACTCTCTTAAGTGTTAATTATCTTTTAACACAGAGTTAAATAAGAGCTATTCTAAATGTTGACCCAGGCCTAGTAAAATAATTTCTTATACCATCAGTTATAACACATAATCTACAGCAACTGAACTGCCTACGTTAAAAAACAAATGCTTTGACAGGATTACAATGTGAATAAGGTTGTACAAGTCTCCACATTTCACATACACAGTCCATAAACAAGTGTGAAGTTCAGTCTATCAGTTACCACTCTTAAACTGCCAGACTTCACGGGGAAAAAAAGCAAGCAGCTTCTGAGAGTTACTTCTGATTTTCGCATTCTTAGTTCTCCCACTCTTTTTCTGTCTCTCTTTCTCCTTCTGCATCTCCTTCTTCTTAACAAGAATAGCTTTTTTTCCAATAGATGCACTTTAGATTGTCCTACATCTTTGCAAGCAAAATTAAGTCTCTGTTTAGATTCACTGACATTCTTCAAACCTGGATTTGAACTTTGCTGTTTTAATGTTTCTTTATTAACACAGCGTGTGACTCTGAGCTTTCTTCCCATGAGCTCAGAATTACTTAATTTCAGAGCAAGATGAACAGCATCTGTGTTCTCCAAGAGCACATAGCCAAACTTCCGCCAACTCCTGTAACTGGGTCCCTCACAATCCTCACTGCCACGATACTGCCGCAGCCCGGAAAGTGTTCTTTGTTCCACTGTAGTTCCTTCAACTTTGTAAGGGAGATTCCCAAGGAACACTGATCTCTTGTCTCTAGATGAGGTCTCAGGTGCAAGATCAACCCGAATACGAAATCCACCTGCAATCTGGGCCCCGTTTCTTTTCAGTGCTTTTCTGGCAGCGCTCTCATCCTTAAACACAACATAAGCATCAATGTTTTCCTGATCAGGATGACTTTTATGTTTGATTGCTGCCAACTCTTTGGCTACAGTCCCCTCTGCTGGAATAGCAATCTTCCTGATTCAGCCTCCCCAGTGCTGGGATTATAGGCATGGGCCAGCACGCCCGGCAAGCAGCCCAGAGAACAAAATCATACAGATTCTATTTGCCATGCTCTTTAGAAAGTGACTTCAGCTCCTTGTTACATGCGACAGGCAAATTCCCCAAACGCGGTCCTCTCTACTCTCTTCTTCTTGGTTGACTGGGGTTTTCTTTCTTTGACTTGCATCAAAGCCGTGATCTATACCATCAAGTACTTTTCTATCTGCTACTTTAACACCGGAGAGAGAATTTTCCCCTTTCCGCCCGATTTTGGAGCATTTCTTCTTCTAAATCAGCACTTGCTAAAGCACTTTCCCTGCCTGCCAACTTCCTGTCTGCATCAGAAAGTTCCTTCTGCACTGTTTTGTGCGCTCTTGCCAAATGGCCTGTGGTTCAGAGATGCACTTTCTTCCTTGTCATCACATTTCCTTTCTCTAGAAGTTTCCTCTGCTCTGCAGTTCTCTTTTTCTTCTGCTTGTCCTCCCCTTCCAAAGCCATTCCTCCCCAGCCTTCCACACCTGCCGGCCTTTCTTTTCCACAAGCAGGTTTTATCAGACCCTTTCCCCAAGGCACCAACAGGATTCACATGAAGTCACGGGTTCTGTAATTCCATCTTCCAGCTCCGTCCTTCCTTTCTCCCCACCTCCCTCTCCCTCATTCTCCTTTCCCTGTATGATACTGGGGCTGGAGCCCAGGGCCTCCTCACTGAGTGACATCCCCAGTCCTTTTTGATTTTGAGACAGGTCTCAATAAGTTGCCCAGGCTGAAATCAAACTCAGTATCCTCCTGCATCAGCCTCACAGAGCACTGGGATTACAGGGCTGCGCCACCCCGCCCGGCTCGTTTTAGACTTCGGAAGAGCTGCCTTTGGGTCAAACCTGTTGCACCGTAACTGGCCTTTGAGTGAGCCTTGGGGTTGCTCCCAGCCCCCCTTCCCAGCCTGCACACTCCAGAGAGCAGAAGGTGGCCCCGGGCAACCTTTCCCGTGACGGAGAAGTGGACAGATTTGAACTGTCTACCCAGCGGCGTGCAGGGGTCTTTCAAGCCACGCGTACTCTGCAGGCTGCCAGAGGCAGGCAGGGAAAAGTAACCGTGAACTTTCAGGCAGAACTGTGGGGAGCCCAGGTGCAATTTACGTTTGAGTGTGGCTGCAGGCTGCTCCTCGGGGCTCCAAGGACAGCGCTCCCCTCAGAACCCGTACTTACTGTACCACTGGACACGCTCCAGGCCCCCCCAGTGCCTCGCCTGGGCCAGCAGGTCTTCAGGCATGGTCGGGAGATAAGCATACTGCAAAACCAAAGGCAGAGACCAGGTGAGTGGGCATCCTGCCCGACTGCTGGAGGCCTGTGGACAGGAAGTGACCTCTCGGTTTAAAACCGTTTTGTATCCGTGTGTTTGTTCGTGGGGGGAGCGGGTACGTTCCATCCAGATCGCCTCTCAGCCACCTCCCCCGCTCCACCCTTCCTCCGCTCTCTTCTCTCTCCCCAGGTCCTCTTCCCATCCTCAGAGCACCCACCTCTGTCTCCTAGCATCCCTCTTATTTGGCTCTTTAAATAACTTATACTTTGGGTTTCTCCCGTGAGAGAAGCCATGGGACATTCGATGTGTGTCTGACTCCGCTGGGCATTATGGTCTCAAGGTGCGGTGACAGCGCAGAGCAGGGACGTCTGCACCACCACAGGTGGAGAGAAAGAACCCACAGGCAAACGATTCTACAGTCCCCACGATGCAAGCTCGGCCTCCACGGTGACAGAACACTGGGTTTTCCCATGAAAGCCGAAGCAGTCGCAGCCGGCTCTTACCTGCATGTTGGCCGGGGAGAAGGCCAAACCCCTGAGGGGCGCCAGGACTCCGTTTTGTCCACACAGAAGGACGGCTGCAGCATGAATGGCCATTTCTGCCACTGTCCCTTCCAGCCCGTTGGCGCCAGGCCCTGAGCTCAGCAGCGGCAGGCTGTTGCTCACCAGGGCTGTGGCAAAGCGTTGGATCTCAGGAGACAGGAGTTTGCTTTCCTCGATGAATTTGTTCATAGCTTCACATTGCTGGCGGGAAACAAGTTTTTTTACGTTAGATTATTTCACAGAGGATTGGGAATTGGAGGCTTGCGCTCTATGAGTCACACATTTCGATACGAATATGTAATAATTACCAAGATAAATATGGTTAAATTATCACCAATTGAGGGGAAAATTTTCAGAGAAGGATTTTTCATATAGAAAAACGGCAACCATGTACCTTAGCCCAAATTTTCATATGTTGTTTTGGTAAATATTATCTCATTTTGGTTGATGATAGTTCCGTAAGCTTTGGGATAAATGCAAAGCGGTGCTTCCACATAACAAGGTTAAACACCTCTGTCCTAGGTAAGAAACTATGAGCATAATTTGTGCTTGTGACTTTCACTTCTTTCGGGAAGTCTCTTCGTGTGAGGCTCCTCACACCAGCCCGTCACTCACCTTGGGCGCAGGGTGCAGGTCTGCGCTGCGGGAGCAGAACAGAGTGGTCACCTCTCTGTACAGTGCCAGCAGTAAGTAGGCTGCTTGCTGGGGCCTGGGGCTCCTGCAGGCCTGCAAAGGTGAGAAATCAACAGTGACAGGGCTCAGCTGGGTGTGGGGACGCCTGCCTGGAGTCCCAACATTCTGGGAGGCTGTGACAGCAGATCACACGTGTGAACCAAGCCAGGACAACTTAGTGAAACCCTCTTGCAAAAGGGCTGGAAATAACAGCTCTCTGGGAAGGCCCTGGGTTCAACAGCCAGCACCAAAAAAATAAAAAAAGTTACAAGGCGCTGTGCAAGGGCAAGGACCCAGTGTGATTTGCATGTGGACATGGAATCAGCCCACAAACTACCCAGGCAGAGGGCGCCTCTCCCAGGCCCCAGACCCCAGAGCATGCGCCTTGGGGATCTTCTTCGCCTGGGCAACAACTCTGGGGCTGCAAGGTTCTCCAGATACGCTCAGATCAAACTCAGCACAGGCTGACCGGACTGGTGATGACAGAGGAACAGAAGCCAGCTGTTTCTCTTTCTGGCTGCTTCTCTGGTCTTGGAAACATCCCCTGAGCAGAAACGGGCCTTTCTATTTCCTCCTTCCCAGCAATGCCAGGGTGAACAGGGACTCAAAGAGGAAGCAAGACCATAATATAATAACAATGGAAAGGTAAGACTTCTACAAACCCTGCATCTTTATCAAAATAAACAGACACGTAAGTGCAGCTATGAATTGGGATTGTACACAGGGAAGTACTCAGTGAGTATCTTTTACAGCAGAGGATCTTAGAGGAAATGAATTTTCAGGAGGACCTCAAAGGAAGGAACCATTCAGCCATCAGGCAACACAACTGCCCCTGCTCCCTGTTCCAGCTACTAGTTCCCTTGCTCTGTTCATGGCTCCTGTGCGTCACCCCGCACCACTGGGCATAATGGAGGCAAGAGGTAGACCCCAAGGGAGCCAGCACCCTGGTGAGGGCCCCGCCCAGCCTACCATCAGAGCAGTCCCAATGCCCACGGTCTTGCACTGGAGCATGGCGTGGCCCACAGCATCACGAACGGCCTTGTATTCGTCACCGTACACTAGGTACCCATCCATCTGGCTTAGACGGTCCTTCTGCAACCCAGGAGGACAGGGGTTAGTCTCAGTGGGGACGAGGCAAGGATACTTTTTAAAGAACTGTCACTATAGATAAAGATGCCCGGTTGTCATCAGAGGCCTGGAGGTGGCTGAGCTGGGAGGCCTGGGTGCCGCGTGCACGGCAGGCCAGGGCTTTCTGGGGAAGAGCAGACTCCTCAGTGGAGGAAGAGCCCAGGAGGGGTCATGCTAACCTTCTAGCTGGTGGCTTTATCCGCTCACAGCACCATACCAAGCTCAGATGACCAAAATGTGTCACTTCTGAGCCATAGTTGCTCATATAAAAATGCCAGGACTTTCAGTGCCATTTTGTAACTGCAGGGCAGTAAGACCACGCTAAATTCCGAGCAAAGCTTGAGAGGCCCTGAAGCCAAAGTTGGCACATTTGTGTGTCCTTGCTTCTCAGCCATCCCACCTCTGCCTGGCAGAGGTTAGTTACGGCGACACCCTGCAAGCCGAGTCACTCTCAGTTTGCTCAAGGCAAAGGCCACCAGAGATTCTTCTGCTGTGTGTCTGACTGAAGAGGATGTCTACACAGACTCGGCAGGTAAGCCACACATACTCATCTGTGCACATGGGTGCCTGCCCCTTCTGCCATATGGCAAGGGATCTAACCCTGTGCTAAAACACAAGACAAAGATCAGACAGGCACATGCCCGTCTCCATTCTGTGACGGGGTAGCGGCACGCAGTGGTGGCAGCCCCTGCTCCAGCTTGGAGCGGGATTTCCTGCAGGGTACCCCACAGCCCAGGTGTCCTCCTGGGACCCGCACTGTACCTGCTCTGTGACGACTCCCTTGGGGAACGCCCAGTGGTAGGGGTGGCTCCGTCTGCAGAGCCCCTGCACAAAATCCATCCCTTGCTGGCTGGACAGTCTCCTCACCAGGTACACACGGTACCAGTCATTCCCGCCGAGGTCACAGAACTGCTTCACCTGCCGTAGGTAGCACTGCCGCTCCTCGGCCAGCTCTGAAAGGGCAGGGCAGGGCGATGTGGGAGTGAACGGTGCGGTCACACCCAGGGAGGAGGCGCGGGGGAAGCGAGGGTCCCGTACCCCCCAGCTAAGCGCGAGAGAAGACGTGCCTGAGCCCTCTGGGAGCTCCGCGAGGATGTCAGAAGCCCTGTCGAGACACAGGCGGATCCTGGCCAACTCCTGCAGGGACTCGACAGAGGCCATAGCGGTGGTTTCCCGGCCAGGCCGTGTAGGGGAGCAAGACTGGAGGAAATGGGCTTCCTCTCTCAGGTAGCTCAGCTCGTTGTTCCTGAAGCAAGAACTGGTCTTCTCGTATATCGAATCCTAGAGAGCAGAAGACAAGCGAGAAAAGGACGTAATTCTTTCTAGTAGGCAAGTCCCCCCACTTTTTTAGTATCACACAGTGGGCTTTACAGAGGTAAAGCAAACAAAGAATATCATTGTGGATCTGAACGTAAAATTTTCTAATCATGGAAAACTAATATCCCTTTCTATTTTAGGGGGAAGAAAGAGAAGGAAAAATTTCACATTATTGAGTTTGTTTCCTGTAAACATTTCGGAAATAAAAAAATGACAACAGTAAGAAGTATTGTTTATCTTAGCCCCTGGCGATAACCCTTGCTGACCTCGGTGGTGCCTTCTCCTCGGCTGTGTGCTCTTTGTGTGTCCATGCACGTGGATGTTCGCACATCCATGTATCCCACAACAACCACAACAGCTTCCGAGAAAGGCACAGCTAGGGCACTGTTGTGCAGGCACCAGAGCACACTTAAACAAGACAAGACAGCTTCAGCGTCACTAGGTGCTACTGCCTGTCAGAAGGGGGAGACCGCGATGTCACTAAGGGTCATGACAAAAAATAGAGTCGCTCAGAGCTAAGAACACCCTCCCCGCAAAAAAAACAACGAAGCACCTGCTCACTGTACTAAAACACACTCTCAGTTTTCCTGAAACACTCACTTTTTCATTGCATGAACTTAGGTAAAGGGACTTGGGAAAGGGACAGCCAGCTCACCTCCAGGCAGTTGATGAAGAGCATGTGTAGTTCAGTTTTGTCTTCAAAGATGAATACTTTGCTCTCTAGCAGGGACAGGTAGTCCTGAATGTAATTCTTCACTTCCTGGAAGCTGTGGACAGAGAAACATTATTCCTGGTTACATGGGATCCGGAGATTTATTTTATAAAAGCAAGTACCTACCTGTCAATCTGTAATCTATCCAGCTATTTCTCTGGGTAAGTGTAAGTGCGTACCACATGCTTTGATTCATATGTAAATGTTCCCCGAAGCCTCCGGTGCTTCTAGGTGGGGTTTTTGGGAGTGACTGGAACGTGTGTGTGACACTGAATCCTGGGCACTGGGTTGGCCCACTGATTGGTTTAACATACTTCTGGGTCTGGATGGTGGATTTGCTGAAGAGGAAAGACCTACTCTGGGTGTGGGTGGCACCGACCAATAGGCTTGCAGCACAGATGGGATGCTGCCATCGAGCCATGAGCTCTTTTTCTCTGCCATGCCCTCCTCCCTTGGAGCTAGCTGACTATGGACTGAAACCTCTAAAAACTGTGAAGTAAAATAAGCTTCCACTTCTTTAACTCGTAGGTGTCCAGTATTTTGTCCCAGGAACAAGAAAGTACAATTACATCAAATGGTTTTATAAAAAATGTTAGCACAACTGCTGGAGGAGTAGGAAATTCCATATGTGAGATAGGCTGTTCTCAAATTCTCAAGTGTTGTAGTCTCAAGATCCTTTTTTTTTTTTTTTTGGTACTGGGGACTGAACTTGGGTCCTCAAGCTTGTGAGGCAGGCAGTGGTATCACTGAGCTACATCCCTGGCCCTTCAAGATCTTTTGCTGATAACCACAAAGAGCTTTTGTTTACATGGGTTATACCTATGAATACTAAAGGTATTAGAAATTAAAACTAAAAACTTTCAAAAATATCTAATGATTCATTTACGACAACAAGAATAGATCCGTTACACATTCAAATACATAACATTTTCAGAAGTTTGTTTTGCAAATCCCTTTAACCTGCCTGGCTTAACAAAAGTCATCCGATTTCCCATGCCTGCTGCCAATCGGTTCTGCAACACTGAACTATACGAAGGAATGGCGGCCTCACACGTGATACAGCTAACATGTACTTAACGCGATGTAGTTTGGTAGTCAGAAAAGGAGAAATACATTAATAGACTTGGCAGCTAATTGTGGATACTCTTCTGTGACACTGTACCAAGACGTAATAAACAACTTTCTAAAGGTTGGTTGTGGAAACTGACACTGTTACCAGAACAGTCTTCACAGTGAATTGTATTAAAATCAGACGGTTAACCTTGCAGTTTAAATGGACTTTCCTTCACTATGCTAGAGATTGAACCCAGGGCCTCACCACAAGCCAGACAAACCCCCTACCCCTGAGCTATATCCTCACCCCCTCAATCTTTCTTTCGTGACACAAGGCAGTGATCATTTGAAACATCTTGGTTGGCCAAGATGGGCCAACCTTGCAATGTCCATACATTTTTATTCTACGACATTGGCGACAAAAATACTTCATCCACATGGGCACATATCACTAAACCACCTCAGAAAGTCTAAGTGATAGAAAGCCACCTGGCTCAGGGTAGCGCTTTCCAATTCTTTAATTTTCACACAAAAGCTTGAATTGTGTCACCAGCAACAAAAGCAGCAGGGCTCTCGGTGAGAGGCTCGAGGGCTGCACCCGCTCAGCACAGGCTGCCCGGCCTCACCTTGGGCGACTTTGGGAGACACACGCTGTCCCTTGCTACGAAGCGGGTGTGCTCTGTGGGAATCCCGTTTCCACGAACAGTGACAAGTGGAATCAAGGGGAGCTTTAGTAAGTGAAACCGTGATGTTAGAGGACTCCAGGTGCGGAGGGGGACTGTGACAGCTGCTACCCTAAGGCCCACGCTCAGGGGCCTGAGCTTCTGCAATGCTACTGTGAGTACCAACGTGTTGAAAAGACAAATACATACTTACTGTTTTAGGGTTGTTTTGAAAATGGGGCTGAGCTCAGCAGCACAGGCCCGACTCCCTCGCACCAGTGAGTGTGCCCTGACCTGCAGCCTGGCTCCACCCCCGAGAGGGACACTGGTGGCTTGGACAAAGGCCTGACGGGACAAAGCGAAGCTGAGGCTTGGAAACAGCCTCCAGGTGTACTGCGCCTGCCTGTAGCTACCTGTACTTCAACAGCAGCTTCAGCACCACGGAGCGGATGACGGGAGTCTTATCCACAACGTCGTTAAACGGGGAAAGAGACTTTGTGTGTTCACGGTGTCCTGCAGCCAGGAAGAGAGAGCCACTGCTCAGTCACAGCACGAAGCTGAGACGAAGAAATGAGCTCTGGGTTGCAGGAAGAAAGCCACTCACCCCGTGGGCCGACTCTCAGGAGCTCCTTCTGTACGAAGAGCAAAGCCAGCAGGCTGTCGATCACTCTCTTCTCAGGGGGAGCATTGTCCTTGAAGCACATGGTGGAGACCAGGTCCACAAAGAAGCTGTTGCACATGCGCCGGAAGTGGGCATGCTTTTCCACGGCCTGCCTGGGGATGGAGGAGAGGCTCGGTCAGGGACCCTGCATCTCTCTGTGCGGAGTGTTCAGAGACGGGACAATGTTTCAGTTTTAAATAAACAGATGCAGGTAGCTCTATGCATGAGTGGGAGCTGGGTGTCAAAATAACAACAGACAGTATCTGCCTCATCTCTCCCTAGGAACGCCTGGTGCACTCGGGCCAGCCAGTGGTAGCCCTGTATGTCCAAAGTGCATCAAAAGACCCCTCTGTTGGGAGGGAAGGGAAGGAAAAGTAATCAGAGAGGCAGTAGGGCCCTGGGCTGAGACACCACAGATCTTCAGCTCCGGCTTTGCCTTCTGCGAAGCCAGGTGACAACCGGTCACCCTGAAGCCAGAGAACATGCATGGCCCTACCCAGCAGAAGGTCATGCACTGGGGATCTGTGTAAGGATCAGGGGCAGAGCACGTGCCCAGCACAGGCGAGGCGTGGGGTCCAGCCCCAGTATCGGGGAAGGACAGACCAGCTGCATGTAAATCCTGTGGGTCTCTTTCATTTGGGACTTTCTGGCCACATGATTTTGCTCTCTCTGTGTTGGTACGGGTGCACACTTGGCAGAGTGATGAATTCAGAGGCCCTGGCAGCTAGGAAAGTACATGGGTGCCAGTGGCTCTTACAGTGCCAAACAACGGTTAGCAGAGGTCATGTTCCTGAGTGTTATATTTGAGAGAGAGAGAGAGAGAGGAAAAGAGGAAGCTTTAAGAGAGAGCTTTACCTGTATTCCTGGGAAATGGTCAGAGAGAAGTTGTCTGGCAGGTTGGTTAGGCAGTAGGGGCATAACTCCTCCCCAGAGGCCAGCCAGGTTTTGATGCAGGCCAGGCAGTACACGTGGTCACAGGGCAGGCACACGGGGTCCTGCGTATCTCCCAGGCAGATGGGGCACGGCTGAACACCAAACCTGAACAGGCAAAACAATCAGTCCAGAGGCAGAGAAGCTGGCCAGGAGTGACGCCCCCACAGGCATCGGGCTCTCTCCTCCACAGGTCTGGGCCACGGGTCTCACCTGGCAAAGGTATTGCTGGCATGGTCTTTGCATTCACAAAGAGTGGTCATTACAGCTGTAAAAGGCTTGTGCATCTTGATGTCCGAGTTCTCCAGAAGACGCTGGGGACAAAGGTGGTGATGAGGAACTGTGAGCAGCCAGGAGAGGAGCATGTCCCAGCCTCAAGGGGACAGTCTACAAACCCCATGCTTGGCAGGCTGGAGATGCCCTGGGTTTGGGAGGCTATCTTGAACTTGCAACTTTCCTGCCTCAGCCTCCCAAGTGCTGAGATTACAGGTGTGTGCCACAATGCCCAGCTAATTTTCCACACTTTACAAAAATGCCACTGTGACTTCTGATTTTTTTCTTTGCTTTTCCTCTTTTCTTTTCCCACCTTCATTATGAGATACTTCAAATCTAATAATGTAACTTTAATATAATACTATAACCACCTGTGTGTATACAACTAACCTTTAAGAAATTTCAGCAATTTTGAAAGAAAGAAAGACAGACAGAAAAAAGAAGTTTCTCCAGGATATATCTAGAAATTGGAAACACTGGTTCTTAGGAAGTACACATCTTCAACAACACATGAAACTAAATTTAATGATTTTGTTTCTGGAGGTCTGTGCTTAGGCAAGATGCTTGCATAAATGTCTCATGTTAAGTATTCCATTGGGCATTACAGGATTAAGTAAAAATAGTTCCCTATTCCTAGTTTGCAAAGAATGTTTTTTCCAAATCATTCATTTTATCAATGTTTTATCTCTACATTTTGAAATAATTGTTTGGAATTTATGTTTTAAATTATATGTGCCTGTTAACATTTATAGGCTTAAACAGTTTAAGCCTTTGTTGAAGTCCCAGGATAAATCATATTTAGAAATGATGTGTATAGGGCTCGGGATGTAGCTCAGTACAAAGTCCTGAGTTTAGTCTCTGGTATGGGGTGGGAGATTAAAAAAAAGAGAGAGAGAAAAGAAAAAAAATGACACGTGATTTTAATACCTGAATAAATTTCATTTGTTAATCATCAACCCAATTCAAAGAATGGACAGAATATTTAGATATTGCTCCAAAGATGAGATATAAAAAGCATATAAAAAAAGCCTATGAAAAGATGCTCCGTGTTATGGCTTATATCTAGAGGCCCCAAAAAGTTTCACACACTCATAGGTGGAGTTTTCGGTGCTGGCCAGAGGACAGAGTGAGGCCAGTTACCTGTCAGGGCGCCTCAGCGACTCTTCATCCTGGCAGACACAGACCCACGTGCGAGGCCGAGGCCAGCCCCAGCGCTCACCTTGTTCAGCAAGAAGACGTAGTTGGTCACCAGCCCGCTCAGCTCAGGTACCTGGCTCTCGGTCCCTAGGAGCACGTGCTCCACAAAGAGCGAAATGGAGAAGATGCGATCCCACTGGGCTCTGTCAGAAGAGGGGGATCACCTGCTCAGCTCTGGACAGGGAGCCCAGGACGGGGCGAGCAGAGGGGAGGAGGCAGCAGGTCCAGGCGGAGGATGAGGACAAGGCCGGAGGGAGGACCGTCTACCCTGACGGGTGCTGTGCCTTGGCTACCCAGCTCCAGCCAGGCTTGGTGTTCCAGGCTCCACACCACAGTGGCCCGCTCGCCACAGCCTGCACCTGCTGAGTCCCTCCCCGCCCTTCAGTCCAGCCTGATGGCCTCCCTACTCCACTCGCCCTCCTGTCCCTGCTGTCCTTTCTGGCTGTTCCCTGTTGTCCCAGCGGTCCGTACAGGGCATCACACTACAAGCCAGCTAACTCTCCGTGGGTCCTGGGACACAGCAGGCTCCGCTCTCGCGGTTTTCCTCCTGTGTCGTATGAGACGCTGGCCTTTTCCCGGGTTCAGCACAGGGGAGGCAGGGCCTGCAGGGAGAATCCTGCCCGAGGCAGGTGTGCTACCTGTGGGCACAGAGTGCAAGCATGAGGCGAGTCCCGGGTCTCACCTAATGTCCCTGACGAGAGCTCTGCTCATGTTCCCGCTGCCTTGCAGGTACCCGTCTGAGCAGATGAGCTCCAGCGGCGTGGACAGGTTCTTTACCAGCTGCAGCCAGGCCTGGGGACTGGGCTTCAGGGTGTCTTCTGTCAGCCTCTCCACACAGGCCATTGCTGCAAATACGTCCAGTGTCTGGGAAGAGAAGAGTCACGTGGGATGGCAGGGTCCTCACCCTGCCCGTTATTTAGCCGCTGCCTCCTCAGGTCACAGGCCCAGCAGTTAGCCCGGTGAGTTGTGTTCCAGGCTTGAAACCTACCCATCCACATCTTGGGGTAGGAAGCCTTCGTCAGATGTGTTTGTTTTGGTTTGGGTTTTGGTTTTTTGAGGCAGGGTCTCACTATGTAGTTGAGACTGCCCTGGAACTCTCTATGTAGCCCAGGCTGGTCTTGAACTCACAGTGATCCTCCTGCCTCAGCCTCCCGAGTGCTGGGATTACAGCCTTGCGCCACCACGCCCGGCTTCATCAGATGTGTTTAAGACACCTCTGAGCTCTGTGACCTACTAGCCCGGGAAGTCTCCCACCGGGACCCAGCCCCATGTGCCTTCTGCTCCCAGAATGGAGGCAAACCGACCAACACTCCTCAGCACAGCGAGGGCCCATACCATCTCGCAGCCAGCCAAGTCGTGCCTCGAGGCAGCCTCGATGAGGCTGTGCAGGACCGCAGGATAGATGGTCAAGATTCGGGAGAAGTTCTGCAGCCGCGGCCTGAAGTGCTGGTGGGCCAGGTGCACCCATGGCAAGGAGAGGCCTCCCTCAGGCAGTCCCAGCACCTCCTGCAGCTCCCTCAGGCAGGACCACAGGGCCATCTGCAGGAACTGGGGTCAACAGAGAGAGGCTCTCAGCTGCACTGTTAGGTTATAAAGATAAGTTTTGCCACGGAAAATCAGAACCTCAGAAAAGGAAATTAAAAATCCGGCTTTCCACTATCATTTTCCCGTTTCTTTTTGGTGGAGCCCCCTGGCCATTTTCAAAGCCGTGCCTTTCCTCACCATAACCCTCAAAGCAGCACCACTGTACTCCCGGCTTCCTTCGCTCAGTATTGCATTATGGACACCACTATCACAAAGCTGTTTTGGAGGGTGGTACAGGGGATTGAGCCCAGGCGTGCTTCACCACTGCACTACACCCCAACCCTTTTGAGAGAGGGGCTTGTGAGATGTCCAGGCAGGATCCCAACTTGGAATCTTCCCGCCTCAGCCTTCTCAGTACCTGGGATCATGGCATATACTACACCCAGCTTGAAAATATTGTTTTGCAAATGGCCACATTTGGCCCTGTCTCTATTTTGTTAGACTTTTAAGTTGCTCCTAACTCTTCATTACTAGAAACAAAGCTGAAATGAAGTTCCTGGGCATATCTGTTCTCCTCTCTGATAATCCTGGTTGGCTGGTGGGCCAGCTCTCTACCGGACCTGCCGCTCGGATTCCCGGGGGTCCTTGGGCCCTCCCCTCACAACACTGACAACTGTCCTTTTTAAAAATCCATTTTGCCAAATGGTAGAAGGGGGATCTGAGAACCGGCTGTGCTTTGCTGACTTTCTAGTGAAGTAAACACCTGCGAATGTTTTCTGGATGCTTGTATAATTATTCTGCCCATAGGTGGTTTGTAACTCTTACCCAGGTTATGTTTTTACTGATTGCTGAGAACACTTCCTTAACCTCTCGTCACACTGGTTGGAGCCTTTGTTCTCCCCAAACCTGTCCCTTTCCTTTTCTGTGTACTGAAGTGTGAAGGCTTTCAGCAGTCCAAGGTAACAGTCTTTCCAGTGAACCTCATTTATTATTCTTACCTTACAGGGTCAGTTAAAGATTTACCTTAATATTCTTCAAGAAAACTAAACATTTAGACTGAAGGACTCCTCAAAGCAACAGAAGGTTCTGTTCCAGCAGGGCCCGGCCCTGGTTCTTACTCTGCTCACCACCCACGACAGCGCCAGCGGGAGCTGAGGGTGCCAGCCTATGCTGCCTGTGGTCTACCTGGATAAGTCCCACGCGTGACGGGAGCCGGCATCTACCTCAAGCTCCTCTGCGGTGGACACTTTCATGGTCAGGAGCAGGAAGTCTTTCGAGTAGCTGTATAGGAGCTCCAGCTGCTGCCCTTCATGGAACTGGGTGAGGAACTGACCCAGAGGCGTTTGCTGGAAGATTTCCACTAACTTCTGTGGCAGTCCTGCAGGGAGGAGGCCAAAGAGCGTGTAAGAGAGACAGGTGAGTCTCTGGAAGAGCTCACTGCACCACACAGGAGTGCAGGTGCAGGAGCAGGAGCGGCCGCACTGAACCCCAGCTCAGGTGCAAGGCCGCGCCGGCCACCTGATCTAACTGCAAAGGGCAGAAATAGAAATGCACAGTGTCTAGACACCGGGGCAAAAGACAGAAAGGCGCGATCACTGTTACATTTAGGGTAGCAAGAGCCTCGCTAACCAGAGCAGGAGGAAGCATCCGAGATAGACCGAGTCTGCCACGTCAGAACGAGCTGCAGGAACCTGGGTTCCAGTGAATCCCTCTGGGGCTGGAGTGAGAGGTGCTCACAGCAGAGAGCTCTGCCTAAGGCGGATGAGAGGTGGCTGCCAGGTCGCATGCTGTGTCAGACAAGCAGGACCACGTAGGGTGTTGCCCTCAAAAGGGGAATGCCCGCCCTCCATGAGCCAGACTGGGTCACACTGGTTCAGAGTTGCAGGACGCTGACCCTGAGGGACAAGGTCATTTTTGAGCAAACTGACTGGTAGGTACTCTGAGTAAATGTTGAGAGGGTGATTTCATGTCCCAAAAATGCTATGCTGCCATTGGTCTTCCGAGATTGCTACGGCCAGAGCCCTTGGTGCGGCACAGCCAGGCAGGGCATGGGGCCGTCTGGCTTGAGCAACCCAGGAGGAGCGAAGGGCAGCATGGAGAAGGTGGACGCTGCACTCCAGCTGCACCGAGTTGCTGAGGAAGCTTAACAGGGTGGCACCTCGGTCCCCTAAGCGCCTCAGAATGGGGATGACCCACAGGGAGAGCAGGAACCGAGCTCTCCCCTGCCAGGTACACTCCAGCTCACCAGATCCCCGGCCAGTGAGTCACTAAGCGTCAGCCCACAGGTCCCCTTGCTGTGTGACTTGATGGCTTCTTGCTCCATTTTAAAATGAAGAAATGACATAAACTCAAGGCTCTCCCACCCGCCAAGCATTTAAACTAAGAACTCCGAAGTCACCCGGGGGGGCCAGCAGTCAGATGTCCGCACGCGAGGACTGGCGCAGCCGCCCCACAGAGGGCCTCACCTTCGGCATCCGTGATGTACTGAGCATGGACACACAGCTCTTCCAGGTAGTCCTTGATTCTCCAGCTAAAGGGGACGTCATTGGAGGCGCCCCCAGCCATGCAGTTCTCCACCAGGATGGAAGACATGTCACTCTTAGGTCTGCAACAGGGCCCAGGGACAAGGACATGTGCATGAGACGTCCGTTTAATACAGCGAGAAGCCACTCCCTTCCCTACATTTAGTTTGAAACAGCACCCTACGGCTCCGTCTGCTTCCATCGCCCTGAGAGAGGTGGGAAATAAAACGACAAAAGCTCAGGGGCTCACCGATGCCCTAGGCGAGACCACACACCCGCTGGATCTCCCAGCCAGACCTCTGGTCACCTTTACCACCACGTCCACTTTACTACAGGCTTGTAAATATGCACCGGATCACATAAATAATTAAGATCGGTGAGTTCTGGGATGAGCATGCATGCAAAGCACCTGTCGGTCCTCCTAGAGACTCAGCAGGAGGCACCTAAGGCACAGGTGTCTGGGCTCCGCGTTGTGAAAGCCTGAGTCATTGGCCCCTTTTCTTTCGTTGCTGTTGCTACCCTTGACCTGTGCGCAGGGCTTTTCTGTCGCCCAGCTCCTTTCTTGGTCTGTGTTTCATCTTTTTGGCATGGACTGGCCCTGAGCATAATTTCCCATGGCCTTCAATAAATACAGCTGGTTGCCACTTACTACCAGGTGTACGCCTGGCAACTCTTTCCTTGTCGTACACAAGAACCAGGATAACTATGGGGCCATTCAACCGTAACAGCTTGACACTTCGCACCACACGCAGCACTGAAGCCAGTTCCTTGGGTCCTCAGAGGCGAGGCACTGGGGCGAGGGAGAGGCTCAGGGTAAAGAGCACTTGCCTAGGGCGAACGAGGCCCTGAGTTCGAGCCCCAGCACCACACACACACACACAGAGAAAGACAAAGCAAGGTGCTGAGGGCTACCCGGTAGCTGCTGGACTGCCTACTGGGCCAGGGTTCTGCAGTAAAGGACCTGGACAGCCCCTCTCCGAGCCCTCGTTTACAGACGAAACAGAAATAGACCCAGGCGGCAGAGCCCTGTGGGCTGGCACCTGCCCCTCCACACGTGGAGCCGGGGGTCAGGCCGCTCCTGGCTGTGTGAGGGTGGGTGCTCCAAGGGCACAGGGGTGAGGAGAAGGGGGGGACAAAGACTGGGAGGGCGTGGGCGTCTCTGGCCACCTCCCTCCAGGGAGCAGCAGCCCAGCCTGTCACACAGTGGGGGAGCACGTGGGGGCTGCGGTACACGAGTCTTCCCTCACCTCATGGTGTGCACAAGTGGAACGTCCAGAAGCTTATCGTCACTGAAAATAAACATCCACAGGTCTCGCGCCCAGGTCGGCAAATCCGGCCTGCTCAGCAGCTCCAGGTTGGCGTCTCTGTCGAGCAGCGCTATCATGCTCGCCAGGAGAGGGGTGATGGCGCCCTGGACCCTCTTCCACAGGGTGTGCCTGCAGCGGGGACAGGGCCCCTGTGGCTCAGTTCCAACCCAAGGTGCCTTGATATTCCCTGCCTTGCACAACACCCACAAAGCTCCTCGCCTCCTAATTCTCACGTGGCACCTTGGACAAAGTGCCACATTCATGGTTTTCATGTACAAGAGAAGAGGCCCCGTCTGCTGGTGCAGGCCTGTAATCTCAGCACTTTAGGAAACTGAGGCAGGAGAAGCTCAACCCTGAGCCCAGACTGGGCAATTTTGTGAATTACTGAGGCAACTATCTCAAAAAAAAAAAAAAAAAAAAGAGGGATGGGTTGTAGCTCAGTACAAAGTCCTTGGGTTCAACCCCCAGTACCACAAATAATAACAAAAAATAAACGGAAGTTTCTAAGAATGGAGGTAGAAATGGAATAAAAACTCTCCATCTAATAAACTAATTTGTCTATTGAGAAGGTAAAGAAGCTCTTCGCTTAATTTTCTATACAGCTGCTGGGGAATTAGCTCAGTGGTTCTGGCGCCTGCCTTGCAAGCCCAAAGACCAGAGTTTGATCCCTGGTGCCCCCCCCCCAAAAAAAAACCTAAAAAATTTTCTACATAGCTTTTCTAAAGCAAGTCATCTAGGTACTATCAATGAAGAAAATAGTGATCAGATTCACTGACAAAAATTAAATACTTTAAGAAAAATCAGTTGTAAATAAAATACTATGATGAAGAGACCAGAGTAAATTTGTTCCACATCAAGTTTAAAAGGAAAGCACAGATCTTCCTGGACCGTAGGTTTTATGTCCTTAGCTGAGTGGGGAGGCGAGACCCAGTGGGAACTCAGGATGAGCTCTGCCAGAGGGATGAGTCAGGTCTGCAGTCACCCTGCCAGCCGGGGCCCAGAGCAGCCTTCCCACCTGACCACACAGCACCAAAGGCCCAGAAGAAAGGGTCAGGCTTGTGCTGGAAAAGCACGACGGGCAATAAATGACACTCCTGGGTCCTACCTCTGCAGCCACTGTTACTTCAAGCCATAAGCTTGGGAAAAGTTTCTCTTCCCTCCCTGCACGCCACTATCTCCATGTTTTGTCTGTATTTTTGAGACAAGGTCTCAGGCTGACCCTGAACTCACTATGTAGTTCAGGCTGGTCTGAAACTTGTGGTCCTCCTGCCTCAGCCTTCCAAGTGCTGGGATTACAGGCGCGCGTGCCACAGCTGGCACCAATTTAATCACTTAAACTGGCTCCCTGTTCCGTGGTTTGTGATAGGCTTGTACCCATAGCCTTGTTATCAGAACAGATGTTCTGAGGTTTAAAAAAGTTTTATTATGAAAAAAATTGAAACATACAAAAGGAGAGAAAAGAATTCAAAAACCTCTCCCTCCATAACTACATCCAGACTCATTCTAGGTTTGTGGGTAGAAAAATAAAGCCTCGAATTGGTCAGGTTTACAAAGAGGCTTCTCGGGCATTTCCTGGTTGGTGGAGAACAGTAGTGCAACGCCCCCCGCATTCCTCCTACCTGAAGGTGCCCGCCTCCTGGAGGGCTTCCTGATTTGAGGCCTCCCTGGTCACCCACTCCTTCAAACTGCTGGGCTGGTTCTCCTCTTGCTTCTTCAGAAGAACATGGAGGCGCATCTTGGACACCCACAAGAAAAAGCCTGTGAAAAGGCAGAGGGGACATAGGTTTGGCTCACCCACGGGCCCCGCATCTGCCGTGCTCGGGGACCCACTCTGGAGGAGCAGGAAGTGCTGGCTCTTTGGCCAGGCCAGTCCTGGAGCAGAATGAGAGATGCCCTTAGATTCCTGCCATGTCCAGGGCTTCTGCTGAGTCACAGGCCTACGGCTGCCTCTCCCCACACTGAGGTGTGGGCTGGGGACAGGTGCGACCCCTACCGTTGCTGTCATTGTCATCGTTTAGAAGGCTCAGGAGGATGATGACTCTCCTCATGTTGCGGGAGCAGCCCTCGTTCTGGTCCCTGAGCATTGCCACAGCACCCTGCACGCAGCTTTGAAGCAACCTGGTGGTGTCCAGGACTGGTACCTGCAGGGGAAGACAGGTCCCGAGCCTGTACCACAGTCAGGGCGGCCACTGGCTGAGCCGCCTGCGAGCGATGAGGGCCCCCGTGGGTACACGCGAGGCACAGGATGGTGTCTCCACGGCAGATGTCCCCCACCAACCTCCCACCTGCTGGTCCTGGATGCTGCCTGAGGACCAGGCAGTGGTCAATGGGAGGGAGTCAGGGACGGAGCAAAAGCGGCTGGGAGACTCAGGGAAGCGGGAACGCATGGCCTTGCCCTGTACTTCCAATGTGCTAATGGTGAAAAGGATAGAGACCCTGCCCAGCCTGGGATAGCCGTGTACGCCTCTTGAATTCTGGGTGCAGAGGGTCGGAGACACATCTGCAGAGCCCACGGGGAGAGCACAGGGCTGGAACTCACACGGCCACCTTCCGGATCCGAAGGTTCGATCTCCATCTCTTCGGGACTCTTTATCTCCATTTCGGTCTCAGCTGCTCCTCCTGAGCTGCTGGGGTCCGTGTCCATCTCTTCCTCCTGGCTGCCTTCCCCTGCACAGGAAGCAGATGCAATCAGGTCGCAGCGTGGGGCAGCACTGGCTGTTTGTGCCTAGGCTGAGGTCCCCCCAAGGTTTCCCAGCCAGAGCCGAGGGCCGGCCCAGGAACCACAGGTGCAGGTCCCAAGCTACGGACGCTCACCCTCGGCTCCGTGCCCTGCGTGTAGACCAGGCAGCCTGGAACGCATGTCCCAAGCTCCTGCAGGCGGGCAGGTGCAGGGACTCAAAAGTGACACAAGTGTGGTGGCCCTGCCTCCAACACCCCAAAATGGCCAAAAAAAGTAGCCACACTTCCCCCTCTCACGCTCAGGCTGCCGCCCCAAGACTCACGCTCAGGTTTGCTGCTTGGCTCGAACAGCTGGCTTATGGTGATATTCTGCAGCTTGGTCACGTCTGAGGCCATGACTGGGGACCTCCGGAGGTCATCGATGTGCACGGACCGCCACAGCCCTGTGAAGAACGAAGTGGCCCAGTCTTTTCGTATCCTTTCTAGAGTCTTCTTGTCAGCCATAAGCAGGACGCACTACTGCCCTGATCTTTAATTACACTGCTGCTAGAGGGATACCTGGTACCCCAAAAGCTAAGTCCTTGAACACGCCAGAGACTATCAGACCCATTACATGCAGGCCTCAAATAAGTGACCTGAAAGGGTGTGTGAATAAAACTCTGTGAGGCTTCTTTTTTTTTTGAACCGGGGATCAAACTCGGGTCCTTGCACTTGCAAGGCAGGCGGCAGAACCACTGAGCTAAATCCCCAGCCCAGCTCTGTGATTCTTTACGTGTATTTGCTGGACCGTAATCAGTGAAGGGGTGTAGAGCGCTGGTGAGGTTTGTTCTCCACTATGAAATTATTAGAGCAAACCTTTTGTCTCTTATTTCTAGAATACCAATTGTCTTGTAACCATTCCACAGAGGAGGGAAGGAGATGTACTAAACCGGATAGGCTTTTCCTTATTCTGGGCACAAGGAATCAGTGCCAGTGTGAGTCAGGAAGATCTCTGAATCATCCACGTAATAAAGACAGGTGGGAGCCAGAGGACGCCACCCAGTGTCCCCCTAAGTAGAGAAGAAAAGGAAGAGACTGTAGCAGGAAGTCTCAGGATGATGCCTTTAAACAGTGCCGCTGGGCAGGGGATATAACCACACCCGGAACAACACTGTTGGCATTAACATTCTAGTTTCACACTCCGCTGTTTGATCTTTGACAAACGGGCTCAGAACACACACCGGAGGAAAGCTAGCCTCTAACAAATGGCGCAGAAACTAACTGAGTAGCTCCCTGCAGAAGTGTGAAATCTAGATCCGTATCAATCACCACGTACTGAACTAAGCTAAAAGGGATCAAAGATCTAAATGTTCAAACAGCAGCACTTAATCTGCCGGAAGATAAAAATGTGTACAAGTTTCGAAGATAAGTGTAGACGAGGATTTTCTAAACAGAACCCCAGAAACAGTACCAAAAAAATAAAAGAAAACAAATAGTACCAAGAATCAACAAATGAAATCTTAGCAAAGTAAAAACCTCAACATCGCTGGCCATTAGAGAAATGCAAATTAAAAAACACTGAGATTCCAACTTACTCCAGAAAGAATGGCCAGGAGCAAACCAAATAGACACTGGTGAGGCTCTGGGGGGGAAAGGAGCCCTTCTACATCATACAGCCATAGTTCAAATACGGATATCAGTAGGGAGATTAAAAAAAAAAAACAACTAAAATTAGAAATTCTATTTCACTCAGCTACTCCTCTTCTGGGTATCTTTCCGAGAGAGTGAAAGACATCATATTCCGTGACTCACGCATACACATGTTTATAGCAGCACAATTCACAAATAGTTAAAGCTTGGAAGTGGCCTCTATGTCCATCAGCAGATGTATGGATAAGGAAAATGTGGTATTTACACACAAGGGAGTACTACTCTGCCACGAAGAAAAACCTCAGTCATTTGTAGGAAAAGAGACACAGACCATAACGTTAAGTGCAATAAGCTGAAGTATTGCACGGCTTCTCTCATATGAGAAATACAATGTGCCGCCTGCTTCACAAGCGCAAGGTCCAGAGTCCGTTCCAGTGCCAAAACAAACAGACAAAGAAAGAACCAAAATATAAACAAAGAGCAAAATAAAAGATGATAATAGGAAGGGGAGGGGGATCTTTATCAAATGGGAAGGGGACTAGGAGATGGGGGAAAGGGGATGAAAAAATAATTGAGATGTGTTAGGTACGAGCAGCAACTCCACACAAAGGATGTAACCACTGTGTGCCGCAAACACGTACTAACGGAACGTAAAAACTGAAAAACAACCTTTTCGTTTGAAAGTAACAAAAGAAATTCTAGTTTGAGACTTGTACCATTTAGGACCACATGAGAAATCAACCAGCAGACATGACCTAAACGAAAATATCCACGAAGGCTTTGGTCCTACCTCCGTGGAACCCCACATAGGATGCTCCACTTCCCATCCGAGACAGTTTAGTGATAAAGTAGACCAAGACACAGCTGTTCCTTCCTTGTGTTTTATTGATCTCATTGAGAGCAGAATACCTATTAAAAACAAACAAACAAAAATCAAAACCAAACCAGCCAACAAGCCACAGGAAAGTTGCGAGAAGCTGAAGGGTTATCCCAGGAGCCCAGTGTTACAAGCGCTCAGTAAATTCCACACCCCACTTGCTCTCTTATGAAAGAATGAGGCTTTATTTTTTCGTATCGGGGATCGAACTCTGGTCCTTGCGCTTGCGAGGCAGGCGGTGGCGCCACTGAGCTACAGCCCGGGCCCAATGAGGTTCTCTCTTATTTGGCTCATTTCTGTCCCCTCTGCTTGGAAGGGGACTTTCTCCGCTGTCCAGACCCTCAGGGCCCTGCCCTGTGTGAGGAGGGGTGAGGCCCGTGGATCTTCCCACTGTTGGGGAGTTCTGAGCTCAGGGCGAAGTCACTCACGGCCCAAGCCCACGCCGCCCGTTTCCGGCAGATCCGACTCAGCCCTGAAACTCGCTACAGCTTCCGGTGCTTCAAGAAGCGCGGGAATCATTCCCACTTCGACGCATAGTAATGCGAGAACACAGTTCGTTCTAAAAGTATCAGATTTCCCCTGTGCCTGCCATAGACATGACGGAGGCACGTGAACACAAGCGTTTACACACTGTTACTGCCCTGCCCTTGAACTTGTAATTCTTTTTTTTGGTACCAGGGATCGAACTCAGAACTTCACGATTGCTGGGCAGGCGCTGTGCTGCTAAGATACATCCCTGGCCCACTTGTAATTAATTCTATAATTCACAATTGTGAACAAAAGATGACTGTAAATGTATGCTTCGAGGATATTCATATACATCCAATGATAGTGCATCTTACATTTTACAGTTTTTATATTGTTTTTAACCTTTTTTATATTGTTATTAATCTTTCTTCATTTTCTCTCGTCTGCACTTAGGGGACTGAGAAGGGAGAGAAAGTTTTCTTATTTTTATTTCTATACTTATGATACAGTACTGTTTTCAGGGAAGAAATTCTTTAGGAGGTTCTGAATAAATTGTGGATTTCTTACATTGCTTTCTTTCTTTCTTTTGAGACAGAATCTTTCTAGGTAGTTGAGGCTGCCCCTGAACTCACTATGTAGCCCAGGCTGGCCTCGAACTCATGGTGATTCTCCTGCCTCAGCCTCCCAGGTGCTGAGATTATACGTACACCACTGCATCCGGCTTTCCTACCTTGTTTCTGAGAAGAATACTGAAAACTTACTTGGCAGAGGCAATGAGCTGGGCACTGTAAAGGCCATCATCAAAGTCTGTCTGAATGATGAGAATTTTACAGCTGGCTGTACTTGCTAAGCAGTTTCTGAAAGAAAAAGGAAATTATCCAAATGAGTTCTCTGTCCCTAAAAATGGACAATGAACACTCTCCAAGGGGATGAGGCTATACAGAAAACAGCTCTCAGCTGGGTTTTCCTCCAGGGCAGTGGACAGAAGGACAAAGCCATGGAGAAGGCCCTTAGCGACAGACCCCTAGTAGCGGGGACAGAGAGGCAGGCACGCAGGGAGCCTGAACAGAGACCACTGTTTGCAGGTCCTCAGGCCTCACTGTAAAACGAGCCTGCACAGCACGGCCGGGCCGGGGGTACCGGGCGGTGGGGGACCTCACCGGACTGCTCTGAGGAACGAGTGTTCTGTGTCAAACTGCTGCAGCGACAGGATGGTGGGCTTTGGGGCCACGCCCGCCACCTCCGATGCTAAGATTTCACAGTCGTGACTGGTCAGCAGCCTGGAAAAAGTGGTGATCTGCAAAGAGAAGCATACACGCTGTCCACCAGGGGGAAGGGAAGGGCGCGTGTTGGAGCAAACCTGGGGGCCTGCAGGGTCCACCCTGTCTCCTAGCGCCTTGCATGGTGAGGGCCCAGATAAGGAACAACCCACAGTCAAAAGAGCTTTTGAATGCAAGGGAGGCCGAGGCGAGCGGGCGTGGGCGTCTGGAATCAGACAGTGTCAGAGAGAAGACTGCTTCCTTTGGTCCCTGCCTGAGACTCGCCTGGTGCTACAGGGTCAGCACGAGTCTGCGTCTTCCTGCATCCTGGGGTCACGCCGTCAGATGGTGTTAGCCTTGGCGACACACCCCACGGCGCAGACTCAAACGTCCTTTAAGGCACGAGACACCTCGGCTCGCGTCGCCCCCTCTCTGGCCCTGGCCTTACCAAGGAGCTGCTGGTTCTTACATCTGACTGCAAAACAGGCTGCCAACCCATCTTCTTCAGCTCCCCAAACAATCAGGAGGGACCCTAAGCCTCCCAGCCTCCCTCTCCTCCTTCCTATCTTCCTTTTGCTTTTGTCCTGGTGACTGAACCCAGGATCTTCACACTGAGCTATGTCATCAGCCCTTTACTTCAATTTTAAGATAGGGCCTCACTAAGTTCTTAAATTGCCCAAGCTGGGCTCAAACTCAGCCTCAATCCTCCTGCCCCAGCCTTCCCAGAGTGCCGAGATTACACACCTGTGTCACCAGGCCTGGCTCCCAACCATTTTTTAATTCCATTTCCTCTTCTACTTTCTAGCAGCTTCCTAAACGCCTCTAGCTTTCCCATAACCATCGTATCTCACTGTTTGCCCATCACCCAAGCAATGGGGAGCGACTAAGCACACACTTCTCCATCCAGAAGAGGCCGAGCCCCTCGGGGCCACTGCTGAGGCCTCCCGGAGGTCTCTGTGACTGTCTCATCCCCACGACCCAGCACTCATAGCCCCGGTCTCCGGCAGCACCTCACACCTCGATCTCTTCGCCCCCAGAAGGCCAGCTTGGCCAGCTGCAGGGACTCTTTTAGAGAATGGCATCGGACTTCACCCGCCTCCCTGCACAGCGCGTCCCCACCCTGCGGCACTCGCTGCCCCCACACCACCCCCATGCTGGCCGCCACCACAGAGGACAGTGCCGATTCCCTTCAAACGCCCAGTGCCCCAGCCCATGTGTGGTCGCGGCCCTTCACTACCCTCGGCACAGAGCTCTGCTCACAAACTTGCTTTCCCTGCATGTCACCCCAAGTCCCTCCTGCCCACGGGTTTCCCTGCATGCTGGTGTGAACACGATGTGAATCCCTGGCCCTCGAGATCAGGACCCCTTGGGCACGGCTGGGGAAGACGCTCACCTCCGTGAAGATGGCGTGGCGCTCCAGGCCCTCCGTGCGAAGCTGGGCCTGCAGGAAGTCTGCGAAGGAGTTATGCTCCTGCTGGTAGAAATATTCCTGTGACAGCGCCGCCGCGGCAAACGTGCCCAGAGCGGAGGTGCCCAGCCGCACCACAGCGTCGGGCGTGGCGCAGTCCAGCAGGATCAGCTTGGCCTCCTCCATCACCTCGCGGTCCAGCTCCTCCGTCTTGGGCCTGGGACCTCGCCTCTCTGTGGCCTGCAGCACCACGGAGGCGCAGGCGTCCCAGTGGTAACCAACGAAGACATCTGCGGGGCTGTACTTGTGCCCAGCTAGGAATGGGCCTGCTTTCACCTCGGCAAACTCCTGTGCCCAGTCTGTGAGCCGGCACACGATGTCCTTCTGCCAGCGCTCCAGCACGGTGTGGATGTCCAGGAAGTGCTTCTCCAGCCGGTTGATGAGGGGCACAGGGAACTGTTGGTACACGACGTCCTTCTCCTCGATGACGATCAGGCGGAAGGTGGGGTGGACCCGACACTTGACACGGTGGGTGCCCAGGCCGAGGTCCACGTACTTCTGGCCCCCGAGGTACACGTAGTACTGGTTGAGTGCATCGTACAGGCTCTCGTAAAGGTTCTGTAGGTTGAGCAGCACCACCATCTTGCCCGTCTCCATGCAGATCTTCACCCGGTTGATGTTGCGGCAGATCTGTGTGTACTCCTGGTCCTGGGGAAAGCTGGAACCGAAAATGATCTCTGGCCGCTGGTCTCCATCAAAGAAGGTCCGCTGCAGGATCGGTAGTGCCACGTAGTTCTTCGTCAGCACGAGTAAGTAGCGGGACTCCGTGTCTTCCAGCTCCGTGCCTGCCGTGCCCTGCAGCCCCCCGGAAATGTTCTGCTTGATCAGCTCGATGGTGCTGACCTCCTCTGTGTACCTGGTCTCTGGCAAGCTGGCTGTGAAAATGTCCAAGGCCTGGATGTCATCTTTGCCGCTGAAGTTCCGGAGCACAGCCTGTGCGATAGCCTGTGGGGAAGGCTTCTTATTAGAGGCCTTGACCGCGGCAAAGATCATCTTGATGAGGCTGTAGTAGTCGCGGAGCCCAAAAAACTCCTTGTCCTGCGTCTGACACACCGTTTTGTATGCTTTGGCAAAGGGCCCAAAGTACACTTGGATTCTGTCCAGAAGCAGGTTGTCAGAAGAGCAGATACCTTTGGCGCTGTCTATGAGCTCTTTCTCGTTGGGAATGCCACGTGACACGAAAATGCCCCGGTTCATCTTGGCAGGGTCGAGGGCCCAATTGGAAATGCCCACGAAGCCCACTTTCTTGTGGGGGGCGGGGTCATCTTCAATGCAGCCGTCTTCCAGCAGGGGGTGTAACGTCTTCAGGGGCATTTTGGGGGAGTCTTCAGCCAGGCCCACCTCATCCAACACCACCACGGAGACATACTGCTTCAGGTTTTTACCCTGCTGGAAGCGGGCACACTGCCTGAAGGTGCTGATGATGCCTTGCGGGGTGGAGTGCGGGCTGCACTGAAAGGACACCAGGTGGACTTGTTTCAGGCTGCGGAAGAGATCGGAGTGCGCAGCCTGACCTTGCATGGCGTCTGCCACTATGGTCTTGGCAAGAGACTTGGAGCTGCCGGGCTTCCCCACCAGGAAGAGGGGGATCTTCAGCTCAATGCAGATAATCATCATGAAGACATTCTCCTTCAAAGCCAAGTTCTTGGCTATGGTCTTCCTGAGGGGTACGCCATTCAGGAAAAGATCTTGCGCCTGAGTGATCTCATCCAGGATCACCTTGCTGTCGGTGTACGGTTCCGGTAGGAACCTGCTGATGGCTCTCCGGTAGGGGTCTTTGTTTTCTAAAGAGGCGTGGTAACAGACCCCGATGGCCAGCACCAGGGACCAGAGGACCGGATCTCTCTTGTAGGCATTTCTGCTGGCACCAGACTTGCAGAGAAAGGCGTAAAGATTTCCCAAGAGCATTTTGCTGCGCTCATAGAACCACTGGAAGACTCTTACACAGCGCTCCACGTCCCGGAGGCTGACAAAACTGCACTCATTCCCTTTCTGCCTCATGAAGCCCTGTGACGCGGACAGCACTTCTGTGATCATGTGAATCTCGCTGGCATCTATCAGCGAGGAGTCCACCCGTCTCTGGACAATCTGCTGGATGTAGAGCTTCTCAGCAGTGTCATTCAGCTGTCCAAAGTCCCACACCAGAGGAATCAGGCTTGGTGGCAGAGCGTGGACCCGGTACACCAGCTGCCTCAGGGGGATGGAGCCCAGCTTCTCGGCTGTTTCCTCGGCGCTGACGCGGTACCCCAAACCAGCTGACTCCAGGCGGCAGATCATCTCCTGAGAGTGCTTCCGGTAAGGGTTGCAGGCAGCTATGATGTGCAAACCAGAGCTGTTCATCAGCGGCTGGCCATTGACTGTCCTGTCACACAGAACTTCTTTGACACAGCTTATGGCTTCTGTTGTGTTGGCTTCGTCAAAGAACAAGATGGTGTCCAACTGGAGTTGGCCCTTATTGACAAAGGCGATGTTCTCGGCCTCCTTGACACTGGCGTAGATCATGGTGGGAGTCGTTCCTCCGTGGACCTTGACCAGCTTCATGGTGTCGGCGTTGGCACCAGCACGCCGCAGATCACTGAGGAACTTAATGAGTCTCGTTTTCCCACAGCCGGTTTCTCCCATGATAATGACTGGGATCCCACACCGGAATCGCATTTCAATGGCCAGGATCTTAAGCATATTGTCTGTCGTAAGCTCATAGGTTTCATCAGGGTCAGTGGGCCACTGGATCCCTAATGCCTGGCAAAGCCTTTCAAGTTTCTCGTGTCTGGGCAGGTTATCAAAGTTAATGTTGAAGGGCACCCTCTGGTGCAACAGCCCCCTGTACAGCTCTGAGGTCATGACATTTCTCTTGATTACTCTCCCATTCAAGTGATTGATGGCATCGATGCTGCCATTGTTATTGGGCTGGAGATAGAAGCCCATGAAGGTCATGGTCTCACGGTCGCCATTGAAGAAAATATACGGATGAGGCTCTGATTCCCACCTCTTTCGGAGAGAGAAGGGGGCTAGGTCTTCTTCCTCAACCCCGTCCATGGTGACCGCATAATTCCCTGGGCTTTGGTCAGAGGTGTGCAGTGTTGGTGTGGCGAAGTCTCTCGCCATGAAGACCATGAAGGTCACGACAAAGTTCTTGAAGCCCCTCAATGTGTCCTCAATAAACCCTGCATTGCAGAAGACAGAGGCCTCACAGTCTCTGAGCTGACAGTTTAAAAAGCGAGCAAAGTTCCGCAGCTCTGACCAGGAAGGGTTTATCACCCCACAGTAAATCAAGAGGTATTGGACGCACTCCCCTGGGGTGCCTTCCACAGAGCCTTTTTGATATTGAAAGGTGTCTAGGTTTTCGTTTTGGTGGAATCGTCTCAAATATTGGTAAGGTCTCTGGAAAGTCTCACTGTGAAACTTTCTCTGGTCCATCCCGGGATCTTTGCAGCTCTTCTTGGGCGACAGCTCCATGTCTATCACTTCTTTAGGAGGTCTGCAGGTGACTTTGGGGAAGATATCAAGAAAACTGAACCGGAGGGCATGCGCACTCTGCAGAGGAGAGACAATAGTTAGGACCAGACTTCCTGAGAATTGCCTTTGTGTCTTAACTTTCTACATGGTCCACATTGACTGGACATTATGAAAAAATGAATGCCTGGAGTTTTCCAGAGCCTCCTCCTCCATGCACGTTAGTCTCTTTTGCATGGTAAGGCACCACAGAACCTGAATTCTGAGAGCTGCATTCTTAACCAGGAAGTCATTTTCTAACCCAACTTTTGGAGACTCAGTTTCTCATACAGTGTGTGTGCGCATGCTTCTGTGTGGAACAAAACCCTCCTTAGCTCACACGTTTCATCAAAGAATGTCTCCTTGCCATCTTAATGACAAATGAGAGAGAACTGCTCTCGACAGATGAAATTCCCTGCTTTTACAACATAGCCGGGGTTTAATCTGGACATATAGTACAATTCTGAATGGAACAAGACACATTTAAGGTACTAATTCTTCCAACAGTATTTTTGTTCCAGACATTTAAAAGGTTGACAGATGGATTTTTCCTTATTAACATTGTGCCATACTCAGCTGCTTCCCTCCAGCAAAAGCTACAGAGGAAGAACAAAAACCTATCACCCCATACTCTGAGGGGTGCAGAACCCATGACCCGTGGAAATGCTCTATGATACACACCGGATTTGAAGGCCTCTCTGGCAGTACTGTCTTTTTTTCCAGGATTTCAACGATGTATAAATGGCGTGGGTTCCGAAGCCACATTTTCCCATTGATATCCATGAGATATTGTAAAATGAGGAGTTTGAAAAGAAACACCCAAACTCCAGTCTGTACCTAAAGACAGAAATGCAAGTTTTGTAAGCAAGACAATGGCCATTTTCCCGACCCCCAGGGCCTTCTTGCATTGTCCTTTGAGGCTATGACAGTGGTCATGAATACATAGAAGGAGGTCCTCTTCATATAGGGCGGAAAAGGACTCCTCATATGGGGCAGGGGGGTCAGGAGGTGGGAGAGATGTCCTCTCCTGACCCGGCCTCCCAGCTGACATGCCGGCACACTTACAGAAGCAGTCACGTCGAAGTGGAATATCATGGGCATCTGCTGGCATCCTGCAGCCAAGAAAGGCAGGAGGGAGCCCAGGACTTGGTTCTCATCCACCTTTGGGTCGGTCAACCGAATAACTTTCAAAGGCATCGCTTTAGCATTGAATTTCTCTTCCAGTTTGCCCTGCAGTCTCTTCACGTAGAGAGACTTTCCTGTGATGGTAAAATACAGAAACTAGATCCCAAGATTCTGGACCAAGAGGAAGAGAAACCAGACAGATCTATTAAAAGTTACTTCTTATTGTGTAAAATTCGTACCTGGTGCAACCCAACATCAGTGCACAGATGTACTCTGAGCCCTCAAATCTCCTGGCCGCTCCCCACCTATGACCCTCACCTTTTCCCTGCTACTGATAGCAGCCCAGGTGCAAAGAGGGCAGAAGAAAAGGCCTGCTCTACGGGGGAGGAGGAGAGAATCAGCAGAGCAAAAGTCACCTCTGCCTTCCACGGAACCTGATGGTGTCAGGGGAGGGAGGGGGCGTCTGTCCCTGCATGACACTGAGCATTACGCCTGCTCTGCTCATAAGCAACGTGGATGCCGAAGAGGCCAGTGCAGCTAAGCGGGGTGCGGGGAATAAACGGCAGACAACTTGCTTGGGGGAGGGAGTGGGTTCCCACGAACTGTTCGATTTGTAACACAGGGCGGGAAAATATGTTGTGTCCTAGTGGGGTCTGGTGAGGGGCAGGCAGACCTTCCAGAGACTTGGTCCCTCCACTTGCAGAGGGGCTTTCTCTGAGCCACCCACAGCTGGAGAAGGCAACACCACGGGGCCCACCCAGTCATTACCGACACCCGCTCTCTCGGAGGCCACGATCCCAACACACGTCCGGTCTCTGAACACCGAAGCTGCCGCCATACTTGGCTCTGGAACTTTGTAGTGGTGCTCCAGGTAGGCCTGGATGTGGACGAGGGACGCCTGCGGGGTGAAGAGGGCTTTGTGCTGGCTGAAGGCCGAGGGGAGGAGGCAGTGCTCCCGTGCGGCATCACAGACCATGACCAGCTGGTAGTCCTCACGGCGGTGCTGTGTGCACAGGCCGTGGAAGAGCGCCTCCACCTGGCAGGCCACCTCGTAGCTCAGCTGGTCCGCAAACAGCAGGCTGTGGACCTTGTGACCTTGAGCCCCTGGGGTGAGGCAGCGGCGTAGGAGCAGTGCCACCTCTTCGAATGTGGTCTCTGGGGTACACAGTAGCACCTCGTCAAAGGTGGGCAGGGGCTCATCCGGGGCCTGCATGTAGATGGCCAGGGCGGCCAGCAGCACCTCAGAGTGGCCACACAAGACTAGGTTGGGCTGGCCCACATGCAGGCCATGTGGGAGACACCGTTCCACCGGGGGCCCGCCCATCCCAGCCAGCTGAGCCAGACAGCAGCCGAGGGCATCCAGGTCGAGGCAGCCAGGCAGGAAGGCACTCAGGCACCGCAGGGACTGCTCCATGATGAACTGCAGCCTGGCCTCCAGGCCGCCCTCAGAGTCCTGCTGCAGTGGTAATTCTGCCATCACTGTCCTCGTGCTGTACTTGGATGCCTTGCTATTATACCCCTCAATGGCCTTTAGGACATCATGGGGGGTGCAGTTGCTTTTGATGAAGGACAGCATGGTCAGGGCGGCCTCGCTGGGGTAGCGCTTCCGGAGCTCGGTGCTCAGGTACACCAGCTGCTCAGCAGTGTAGAAGTTGAGGTAAAAGTGCTCAGCACGCTTCTCGGTCACGAATCTCTTCCAGCAGTCCAGAAAATGCTCCATCTGCCTGCAGAGGGCTTCCAGGCACGCGGTGACGTCCCCGCTGTCTGACAGCTGGGTCACCAGCTTCAAGCCAAAGTCCATGTGGATGGATTTACCTTTCCTGGGGCAGCAGTAAACCTTAACTGTCCAGGCCCTGAAGAGCATGTTGCCGGCAGTGTATAGGTTGAGGAAGGCCTGCAGGAGCCGCTGCATGCCGGAGAACACCTGGAGAGGAGAGGCCGTGAGGAGACAGGGCCGCACAGCAGTCTAGACGCACACAGGGTACGGTCAGGGGACTGGGCTCACTGACATCCACTGGCTCACACAGGATTTATGAACGGGTCCTTCCTTCCCCATCAACGTGATCGGCCTAATAAGAAGGCCCTTTTCTTAATCAAGGAAGCATGAAGGTAAAAGCCAATGAACACCAACTGCAGAGTACGAATAAACTTTAAAGACCAGGGTGAGGCTGTACCTAAGCCAACAGCCCTGTGTCTGTGGGGCTCCTTCAGTTTGGAAGAAGGATGCTCAGCACAGTCAGCAGGTGCTCGGAGTTTTCGCCAGTTTGCAGAGTAGTGAAGTGATTTACACTTCCCACTGGCCTGTTTTCCTTCCAACGCAGTAGATTAACAACCAGCTGGGAGTTCACTGAGAGGGTCTCAAGGAGGAACTGCTCCCCCAAGGGTCTGCCCAGCCTAAGCCCTCTCTGGGGCTGTGGCTTGGAGCTACATGCACCTGCAGATCCACCATGAACCAAGCCATTCTGCCCATCAGATGCCAACTCAGGCTGCCTCGGGCAGTGTGGTGGCGAAAGTGCCCCGCCTACCTGGACATAACGATGGCACCTGCTGAGTGCTAAGACCCTGCTTGAACCTCACCTCTGAAAACCTCTCCACTTCCTCGTTGTTGTGGTCTTTCTTGCCAGACATCAGCATCAGCTTATTCAAAAGGTCCTTCAGTTCTTCCAAAGAGTATCTGCGCACTTCCTCCGGGCCACCATGACTCTCAGGGAGGGTCAGGCTCAGGACGGCGTCCGGGGAAATCTGGGAGGTGGCACGTGTTCAGAGGTCAACTTCTGATGGCACAAACCCCCAAATCTGCAGCACAGCAATACACATCACCCAAAGCCACACTAGATCCTGGGGCTCACCTTCTGGCCACTTCTGGGTGCCTTAATCATATAGATGCCCTTGCTGTTGATCGCTTTGGCCAGGGTCAGGGACGACAGCTCTACCGACCCGTGGCTTTCCTTCACCGTCTTCAGCCACTCCAAGTTCCTGGCAGAATCTCGCTGTGAAGAGAAAAGCAGAGAGCATGGGGTAGGGTCCACAAGGCCATCCTCTGCCTCTGCCTCTGCTCCAAGGCTGTGGGCGTGGCTGATGGCTCAGAGCCCATGACTGCATTAGGTGCCGCTGCTGTCCCTCAGGACCCATGTCACTGAGGGAGGGAATCTGTTCGTCGTTCACCAGCCCACCGGTGCCTGGTGTCCCGCGGGTGTGTGGAGGGCCCTCAGGTGGCTGGGTAAATAGCCACAAATTGAGCTCTGCCATGAGGACGCCGTTCTTCTGGTCCTCATGACAAAGAGCCTTCCAAGGAGTTGATGTTACTGAGCAGTGCTGTGCAGGCCTAAGTTTTAATGTCCCTTTCTGGTCCCTGATGCCAACCAGAAGAATGAAGGAAAAATAGCAACAGAGGCTCTCGTCTGTAGCCTCAGGCACAAAAACTGTAAGTTACTACCTCTCTTCATTTACCCCCATTTCTTCCTGCAGCCACATGTAGAACCAGCTGTCCTGAGGGCACTCCAGGCCCCAGGAAACACTTCAGCTGGCCAGGAGAGGTCCGGAGTATAAGACAACACTTAAATATTATTTATCTTTTCCTGATCAAAAATCAATCAACATATAGGTGTGGTGACGCATACCTGAAGTCCCCACTTCCTGGGAAGCTGGGGCAGAAAGAGCACAAGTTTGAGCCCAGCCTAGAGAACTTAGCAAGACCCTGTCTCAAAACTGGTTTAAAAAAAAAAAAATGTCTGAGAATGTAGCCCAGTGTGGAAGACTGGGTTCAGGTCCCAGTACTGGATGGTGGGGGTGGGCAATAGTGAGAGTACCAAAAAGTAACAGAATGAAACTACCATTCAAGAGAACTACTGGGTACATTAGTACATATCCCTTGTCCTGTGTTCCATAGAGTAGAGACTGTTGCTGACACGCAATTCTCTACTTCCCTTTCTAACCAAAGACGGAAGGCATTCCACCGTCGGGTGGTTTCTAAGCACCAGCTTGAACAGCTGCCCATCACCCCTGCCACACAGCTCCATCACCCTGCACACAGCCATTCCCCCAGGGCCTCTAAGTGCTGCTTTCCTAAACTGGGTCTGCTGTGGCACCAGGAACAAGACTCACCAGCTTACTGGGCAGGTTCGGGTCATTGTCTAGAGCCTTCCAGAGCTCTGTCAGATGGTTCATGAACACCTTGAAGCCCGCTGCCCTGTCCAGATCATACAGCAGGCAGGCGTAGCCCTGCACGGCATCATGGAAGCAGGCCACACGGTCCACATCAATGTCGTTCTCCCCCGCTGAGATGGAGGCCAGGTCCACAAACACCTTGAGTTCGTTGATGCCTTAGGAGGACAAGAGAAGAGGTCAATGTGGAGCCACTCCCGGACAGCATGACGCTCAAATTTGGCCATCATCTCTAGAGAAGTTATCAGTGAACACTAAATGAACGTTCAAGGCTCTGCCACTCCCTATTCTCAATAAGGATCTGGGTGTTTTGCCTTTTGCACCAATGCTGACTACTGATGGACGCCTAATCTGCACCCAAAAGCAATGCCCCAGGCACGCCACTAGCTTATGCACACTTGGTCTCTTTTAGTAGACAGAGGCTCAACTGATAAATAATATGTTGACAATTGAGAATAAGAAAACCAAGACAATTCTCCTGGAGCATATTAGTAATCAGAGGATGTGATGATGTGGCTCTAAGAGTCCACAATAAAGCTAGTAAAAGCTGGACCCGATTCGGCCTGGGTCAGCAGGAGGAAGCCCACATCCATGTCCCCACTGGATACCGTGCTGCTGTCTGTCTCTTCCCCATCCACCTGAACATCCTACTGGCATTGTGAGTACCTCTCCGTGGACAACAGCTCTCCTTGTGTTTTGGTCAAAAAAAAAAAAATCACCTAGAAGAAAAAGCTATAGGGGACAGGATTTTTAAGAAAATAACCCTCAGCTTTTCACAATGAGCATCCACAGTATGGGGGGAGTGGCAGAGAAAAGCTTTTACATCAGGACCTGAGAAATGTCCTGATGTAAGTCCCACCCATAGTCAGTGAAGCATGAACCACTCATCTACCTAAAGAACTCAGACAAGTCTGGCATGGTGGTGCACACCTGTAATCCCAGCACTCTGGGAGGCCAGGACAGGAGGACTGCAAGTTCAAGACTAGTGTGGACAATTTAGTGAGACCCTGTCTCAAAATAAAATACAAAATTAAGGGCCAGAAATGCAGCTCCGTGCAAAACCCTGGGTTCAGTCTCCAGTACCACAAAAAACAATAACTAAAAATAAAAAACAACCCCCCCAAAACCTTTCCTGTCCTCTGCATGGGACTCACGTGGGGACACAGGGAGGGCATCTCACAAAGTGTGGGAAGCCCACACAGGGAACCATCTGAGACCCCTGCCAGCCACCACAGGCCAGAGCACTGGCCATACCTTCCAGCGCCTCACGGAGCCAGCGGACAAACTCTGTCTGCAGGGACAGCTCCTCCAGGCACCGGCGGCGTGGTTCGCTGATATTCTGCAGCTTCTTCTTGGCCTGGATGAGCTGTGGGCTGATCTGGTCCAGTGTCTCATGGCAAAAGCTCTGGAAGTCATCGTTCTACAAGACAAAGCCGTGCTGTTGGCTGGCAGTGGCTGTGGGAACACCTGGGGCTGCAGGTGCCCACAGTAGCCACGCTCTCTGGGCCCACTGCCTCCCCATCTCCTGGATGAGCGGCTGCTATGGCAACAGGGGACATGGGCTCCCGTGGAGGAGGAGGACAGTGTGAGCCCTACTGCTGCTCCTCGCTGATTGGGAGTCACTACTGCTGCCAGCACCCGACATCCTCCTGAGAAGATCACATGGGCTCGGAATCTGCTCCTCACAATCACCCACCAGTCTACACTGCTGTTTTTTCGGTATTATCAATCAAGAAACGGGCCCAGAGCAGTGACTTATGAAAGGACATGCTGCTGGGTTTAAAGTCGAGTGTGTATGATGCCGAATTCTGTGTTAAATTTTAACCACATTCACATCAATACTGTAAGAGTCACATATGCCTTACAAAGGCAAATCTAGGCCAGGCGTGGTGGCGCACACCTGTAATCCCAGCCCTCGGGAGGCTGAGTCAGGAGGATCGCTGCAAGTTCGAGACCATAGTGAGACATAGTGAGTTTCAGATCAATCTCAACTACATAGTGAGACCCTGTCTCCAAAAAACCAAAAAACCAAACAAACAAATAAAGGCACATCTAGTAATTTTTTTTTTTTTTTTTTTTTTTTTTGGTATGGGGGATCAAACTCGGGTCCATGCACTTGTGAGGCAGGCAGTGGAACCGCTGAGCTAAACCCGTGGCCCCAAGGCACATCTAGAAAATAGGGAGAAAAGACTCATATCTTAGCTCTCATGGGGCAAACTATCATTTGCTGCTTCTGGCTCCAGCTAGGAGATGTAACTGGACAGCTGACATAGTATTTTCTCCTTGGGCTTTTATAATCTAATGAAACCTGATTCTTCCACAGAGAGGATGGTTCCCCGCCCCATTTCCTGAATTCCTGACTCTCATATAGACCCAAGAGAACTCACCAGCTAAGAAGTAGCCACACCATCTATAGACAAAGGTGAAGATGGAGCCCCTGGTATAGTCCAGCCTCAAATTCAGCACAAATGAGCTCCTGAGGGAAGAGCTGCTGCATCAGCCAGCCCAGCTTTAAAAACCAGAAGCCCCACGGCTCCCAAGGAGTGGCGGTCCCTCCGCAACTCCAAGGGTCCCTAGCAAATAACTTACAAAGTTTAATAAAATGCGAAGAATGCTGAAGTCCCCCGTCAATTCAAAGTTCTCCTTGACGTGCTGGATGACCTTGGCTGAGCTGATGGCCCGGTGCAGGCTGTGGTACTCCCTGATCTGCTGGATGCGCACAGGGATCCAGTCCCTCTGGGCGATGGGGTCCACAAGACACATGACCTGGAGGTCGGAATCCAAATCGCCATATTTATCTACAAAGTCCCTGAAGACGTCATTGATTATGGCAAAGGTGACCTTTCCCGACATCAGATTGCGGTACAGTTCAGTGAACTTTTGGTAACAAGGAAAGTACAAGTAGGCATAGACTTCTGGAAGCTGTATGCTCGGCCGCTCCAGTTCCTCTTCTGGACTGCTCAGCCTCTCCGCGGTCTCTTCCCAGAGAATCTGAAAGATGTGGCTGTCCTTCAGCAGGTCTATCATTTCAGCCATTTCTTGGACCTGGGGGCTCAGGCTGTAATGTGTCATGTGCTTGGAGGCTGGGGACGTGGGCAGTGTCACGGTCACGGCCTGGCTTAGTCTCTTGGTGCTGAGGTCTTCAGAGTGTATTGCCTCCATCTTTCCAAAGTCCACTTTGGAAACCATGAGGAAAAGCAGAATATTAAACCTCCCTGGTAGCATTTTGCGTTGTGTTCCTCATATTTATTCTAGCCGCTTCTCTTGGAAAGTCAAGGGAATCCAGCCGCTAGGTCTCTCCTCCCTCCCTTCTGAGGCTTGTTCATCGGCTTTCACCAGAAGACGCATTTTAAGCTCAAGGTGAAAAGGCCGGCTGTAAAGCGGACGTCTATTTTCACTCCCTCCCCACTTCTACTTCAGGGACAGAATGAAAGTTGTTTTAAAAAAGTCATAAACTCTGCTGGGCATGGTGGTACATGCCCATAATTGCAGCACTGTGGGGGTTTGGGAGGGGAGAAGCAGGAGGATCAACCTCCTGCGCCACCAAAAAAAAAAAAAAAAAAAAGAGCAAAGGGTGGAAGGGAGGCAAGGCCCGGAGCAGCTGCGCAAGCTGGAAGGTGAGCACTGGCTACACCAGAGGAAGCGACATACGGGCTTTGGGAACACGGAACCCTGCGACCCTGGGGGAACCCAGCCTCGGCCAGCTTCCAATCCCAGGGTCCCCACAAAGTCCTGACCCTGGTGGTAGGTCACTGGAAACCAGGAGGCAGAGGGAGGGAATGGCTTCTAAATCTTTCTAGGAAGCAAGGTGCTACAGCTACTTAGACTGCACCCCCAGTGCAGCAGGCAGACATCCCGTCTGAAAAGTGGCCTGTATTTATCGTCGAGAAACAGGAATGCAGAAGGGGTGGTGCTGGAAGTCATTTGCGGACACACACCCTTTCTCTGGAAGCTGACAGAGGATAAGAAATACACACTCCAAGGAGAAAGAGGAAGACCCAAGACCAAAGAAGTAGGGAAGGTGGAGACTTCCCTGGATGCTGGGACTCCGTTCACCTCTCCCCATCCTGCCTGCCAAAACCCCGCTTCCGGAAGTTAGCTGGCGATGTGACACCACGCCAAGGCACAGCTGGCCGCCAAAAACCCTCCGAGCTGTCAACGCCCCCATCCATTCTCTTTCTGCACAGAGACAGACAAGGACCCCCAGGTGAGTGTGGGAGACTTAACACGAAGAACAGATGCCAAAGCAGTGGGATTGGGGTGCAGCTCAGGGACGGAGCGCATGCAGAGCAGAGCGTGCCCAGGACCCTGGGCTCCACCCCAGACTCCACAGACTGGAGTCGGCTGGGCAATGGAGGGAGATGGGCAACTATGCAGGGATGAGAAAAATTAAAACTCTAAAAATACTAATAATCTCAGAAAGAAAAAGGAGAACAGGACGGTGTGAAAGAGGATCATTCAGAGAACAAGAGAGAACTTTAAATGAAATGTGTATATGAGAGCCGAAATGGAAGATCTAGTAGGTCGGAGTTCTGAGGAAAGGTCTCAGGAAGCAGAGCAAAAAAGAAAGGCAGAAACAGGGGAGCAAAGTTATGCAAGGCAGGTGACTACTGCAGGAAGTCCAGTCGTCCAGCAAGAGGTGAAAGGTAATTTAAAAAAACAAGAGCATTTCCCCGAGACTTAGATTTCTAGCTTTAAAACACCTCTTCCTAATGCTCAGTACTACAGACGGACACACACTAGTATGGAATTCCAGGGTACCAGAGACAGATTTCAGTAACACCCAGAGTGGGCAAGGGTGTCACGCAGGAAGGACCAGACACCTCAACAGCAGCACTTCCGGGAGAATAGGAGGGAGCCTAGGCCACGTGATCCCCCTCAGGGACAGTCTGCGGCGAGATTCAGACAATTGGTACAGTTCGGGACTGAATTAGAAATAAGCGTGAGGAATGAAAGAAAGGGCATAAGACAAGGAGAGTAAAGCCCCAGAAAACAGAAAGCTTGTGTAAGAAACCTAAACTAATAAACTGGGCATGGTGGTGTGCATCTGTAATTTCAGCCCTCTGGGAGGCTGAGGCAGGAGGATCACGAGTTCCAGCCTGGGCAACTTAGAGACTTACTAAGACCCTGTCTCAAAATTTAAAAACAAAAACAAAAACAGTAGAAGGGGCTAGGAATGTAGCTCAATGCAAAGGTCCTGGGTTCACTCTTCAGTTCAACAACAAAAAAGGAATAATCAGAGTATGCTCCAGGGCCCACATGTAGGAATAGCAGAAAGCCAAAGACTATATGTGCAGGGCACACCCTGGAAAACAGTGGCCTAAATGCTCCCCTCCCACCATAGGGAAGTCCACAGTAACGCTGGTCCCGGAGAAATAAGTGGTATATTTGCCAATATGGAGGTAAACACCAAATCAGAAAGACTCCCCCTGGCAAATACAGGTAAAACAGTTAAAATCTTCTCTTTGTTTCTGCAAAACAAATCTTGCTCTTGTGACTCGTTTCTCCTGTGTCCTCCTCTGGCCCTGCCCTGCGCCCGCCTCAGCCTTGCAGTGCACAGCGGGGAACTACCTGGTATCAGGTGTCTTGTCTTCCCACACAGCTTCAGGAGGCTGTCGACCCATCTTGCCTCTCTCTTTAGAATCCGCAGGTCCGTCTTCCTGCATTCCAGCACTTCCTTCATATTACACTGGTCCTTTTGAACCGAAGGACATTTTCTCTCTGAAACAACAACCAAGTAACCCAATCAGCCAAACAAACTCATCAACTTCCCTGGCGACCCCTTCTCCCACCTCCCTCTGCATTTGTTGGGCTTCGGGGGAGCCACGGGCTTGGCAGCATGGAATGAAAAAGAGTGGGCGCTCTTGCTTCCCCATTAATTTATCGCTTTTTCCCGAGAAATATGAACCATTCTTCACAGCTTTCTGGGAGAAGATACTGATTTTAAAGGTGAGGCGTGCAAGCACTTGGTGTCACCTCCCAGTAATTCCTCAGCAGCCAGACATGCATGTCTCTGCCCAACACTTACTCAATTCCCAGATGTTCAGAAACTGAGACTTATGCTGCAGGATCAGCTGCAATTGTCCAACTAAAATGGTCCCGTCCTGGAGGTCACTGGCAACTTTCGTAAACACGGAGTAGGCTACCGCCATCAACTTCTGGCCTTCCTCTGTAATATTGGCTAAAATTTTCTCATTGGTTCCTGATCAGAGGAAGAATACAATCAAAACCGAGGGCTCCCCGCCTCCCACCCCGTGTGGCTGTCACAGACATTCAGAAGGACGCCTTGGCTCTGTCCCGACTCCCACGCAGCGCGAGCAGGAGGTGCCCAGACGTGAGGTCCCGCTGCCTAACTCTGCTCCTGCTCCAGAGGTGCAAGGCTTGCCCGGATCTGTCTCCTGCATGGCTCCCTGGACTGGGAAGCGGGCTCCACCAAGAGCCAAAATAAACCAGGAGAACCGCAGTGCTTGCGGTTTGATAGCCTGTGCCCTCAACACACTGAACATGGGTCCCGGCTGCACACCATCTGTAAGAACTGCCTGGCTTGAGCATCCGCGCAGCAGCAGAAAGGACCGAACAGGGCGCACACATACTCCCCAGGCAGCCGCGGTGGGGCCTTGGCAGACGCATCAGTGCGGCAGCTTTGCATCCCGCCAGTCGCGGGCACCTTGCAAAACCTGGGATGTGAATATCAGGATCCATTTAGAGGGCGTGATTTTAAAATATGCTTAGTTTAACCACCGGATGGTTTCGCTCTCAGTGACATGAGACAGTATTACAAGAGCAAGTTTATAACAACACGTATAGGAGCTTTACTCATCATTACAGAAACACAGGAAACCAGGAAGCCCTTTAGTATGTGAACGGAGAACAAATCGTCCCGGCAGACAAAGGAAGAGCACAGGGATAAAGAAGGAGCACCCATCAAGCCCTGAGAACACGTGAGGAACCCTCAGTGCTCACTGCTAAGTCAGAAAAGCTCATCTGAAAAGCGGGTTCAACAGGAGGACGTTCTGAAAAAAACAAAACTGGACAGGAAGCAGTAGGGAGGAGGAACACCGAGGACGCAGAGGGCAGCGAAACGACTCCGGTGCTGTCGTAAACCCGGATGCACGCTGCTGTACGTCTGTCAGGAGATGCACCCAACGCCAAGAGCCACGGACCTCTGTCAGTTTCGGCTCTACAGCTGTACCGACTCAGCAAGAGGTGAAAATGTAAAAAAAGAGAAATTTCACCTCTTCCGGGAAGCAACTTTAACCAACGCATACAGCACTCCCACCTGTACTTTATCCCCATGGACTCCGGAGTTGACTTAGCGGATCTGTCCTGTCACCTGATGAAACGGATACAACCAGGGCACCGGGGACGGCAGTGCCAAGTGCAGGGCTTCCCCACTCAAAGCTCCACCTAGTGACGTACACACAAACGTGCCTAAAGAGATTCTAGGCAACTTGAAACGCTTGGGGTGGGCGACAGGACTGTGCACGGCTGGGTGGTCTGTCCCAGTCATCAACACCGGTCCCGGACCTAGTGGGTTTCAGAGCAAGATGACCCAGGTTTAGATTTAATTCTCAAAAAGTGTGCTGGCTTTGAGACCCTGGGGGAGACGATGTTGCCCGGCGCCTGTATCCCTCAGAAGAAAGGTGAGGACCTCAAAGGAAGCTTTGGGATTGGTTTTTCTTCACTACTAGAGTTGCCCAGCACCTGCCTGGGCCCCTTAATCCCAGCTGCCTCCTGTATCAAACATCAGCTGTCCCGGTGAGGCATCAAGCCAAGTATTCTCCCTTCCCAAGTCCAGGAGGAAAACCGTACCATGTGATTCTCCCGGCAGCACCCGCGTACCGTACAGTTTGAAGAGCTGCTCCACTTCCCGCCACGTGAGCAGGTATTTCAGAATCTCATCCGGGTCATCCACTGCTTGCCCGCTGCTCCGAGGCCAGGACTTGGTAACCACAGCAGACATGAGGATGCCAAGTTTCTGGCAATCGTGACAGGAGAGTCCTTCAAGGATACTGGTCTGAGACTATAGGAAAATGAATAAAAAGAAGGAAGTCTAAGTTTTTCTCACTGTTTTTTTAGTCATGGAAATAAGTCAGGCAACAGCAGTCCAGAAATCTATTGAAGGTAGTTTTATAGGGCCTCAAGAAAACCTCAAATAGAGGCGAGGGGTGTGGCTCAGTGGCACAGTGCTTGCCTAGCATGACTGAGAACTGGGAGTCAATCCCCAGCACCGCAAGTGCACAGGCACAGAGACACACAACAATAAAATACTTAAAGTTTTTCAGAGCACTTCCCTTTCCTCTGTACTGTTTTCTGAAGTGGTCAGTACCAGAGACATGAAGCAACAAACACACAACCAGGTCCACAAGGACGATCCACGCCTCCTCCTGGCCCACTGCCAGCTGCTATGTTTCTCCTAGACTTTCACATCATGAAAAATACCAAACGTAATATGAGTGAAACCTTGACACATCATTTGTTTTATGTTCCTAAACCATAATTCTTTCAAAACATTTTAATTCTCTCTCTGATTTTTTTTTTCTTGGTACTGGGGATTGAACTCAGGACCTTGTGCTTGCCAGACAGGTGCCAGAGCACTGAGCTACATGTTGGCCCTCTTTCTGATTCTTTACCAAGAAACAAAATGGTTTTCTTCTTTAGGTTCAAAGTTTCAGAAAATATTAAAAAAAAAATTGGGTAAATTTACAACAAACATCTTGCCACTTAAAAGGACAAAAGAAAACATCCAGAAACAACGGCTAAGTGCGATTTATCCTGGAAAAAAGATTGGCTTAACATTAAAAAAAGAGTTAATATGTTGTATTAATAAATTTAAAAAACCACACGACTGCTTTGTTATACACAGGAAAAGTTTTTGACAAAATCCAACACCCCCAAATTAGAATTAGACAAGGATGCTCGATTTCACCATGTTTATCACAGTACTGAAATTTCTAGCTAGGGCAATCAGCTGAGAAAAAGAAAAAACTATGCCCAAGCTCAGATAACATCATTGCCGATGCAGAAAACCTTATACATGTGTTCTCTCACATGGACGCCCCCACTGCAGCTAAAAGATGAGCCCAGGACTGGGGATTTGGCTCAGTGGTTTTGCCACCTGTCTTGCAAGTAGAAGGCCCTGAGTTTGATCCCCGGTATCAAAAAAAAAA